TTTCCTGAGGATATTACCCACCAGCACACAGAGCTGTACAGTTGACTTTGCCTACTCAGCATGTTTGCTGGATTGAATCAGTCTTGCTTATGTAGGACCAGAGGGCCTTATAGCAGCCCCAGCTGATTTGTACCATCGGCAATAGTTCCTGCCTCCCCCAATCCCATGAGGAAAGACTGGTGGCTGTTAACTAGAAAAGCCACTTGTCAATGTGGTCTTTGGGCCATACTTGAGCATACAGATTCATGAATCATTTTTTAAGGGATCCACAGGTTTTCCTCCACACAGTGCTCTGCAGGCTGAGGTTCAAAATTCCAAACTATGCATACAAAATTTATAGAAATCCCATGTTTACAGGCCAAAGAAAGTTGTGTTTTTCTCAGAAAGCACTAGCAGGAGGCAAAACTTCAAAAAAACAGAGTGTGTGCCCTTCAACTTCAATCTTAGCACGAGGAACTAAAATAACAGGATATTCAGGACCCACAACCCACCCAAGGGTCATGACAATGGGGGATTATTGTGATTTTGCCTCCAAGGGGAGACCTGAGGGCACTCACTGGGTGTTGTGTGCCTTCCTTTGCAGGTTCATGATTAAGAGAGCCCAAGGAAGGAAGCGTTTTGGGATGAAGAATTTCAAGAAAAGGTGGTTTCGCCTGACAAACCATGAATTCACCTACCAGAAAAACAAAGGTAACCTGTTTTCACAGGCCTAGCTGGACAGGGAGGTTCCCCCAGTTCATGGCGCAGTTACCCAAGAGGGGTCTGGGGAACAGTTGAGACCTAGGGAGCTAGGCGGCTTTGTCTTGAGAAGTCGCAGCCTCAGTCACCCTGATCCTCTGAGAAAGGATGGTACTTGTGTTTAAAAACGTACTCTCCATAGAACCAGAGGGCACAGAGCTGACAGGAACAGCAGTTCCTTCTGACTTCACTCCTTGTATTTCCTCAACTGAGTGCAGTGTCACTACCCCCAGAACCCCTTTTTTGTGTCTTTCCTTCCCTATGATGCAGACACCCAGGGCTCTGATTCAACAAAGGAAGAGAGGCCTTGGCCTTGGCAGCTGCATGCTTTCTTTAGGGGCTTTTTGTGCCCCATAACACTGGGACTTCAAAGTTCTGGGTGTCTGTCCTAGGGATGGGGCTGATCAAACCCGTCATCACGCTCAGAATTCCAAGCTGCAATGGTAGAGGTAGTATAGGCCACATTCCTGGAGGCCTAAGTGAGACACTCATGGTCCTGAGGTCCTGCCTGTACGTATGTATCATGCTCTGGGGGCCTATGGCCTACCCCAACCCTACATCTATGGTCTTCTGGTTTCCCAGCCTTCAGGAAAGGATAGGCGAATGCCCCCTGTCATAGCTCAGCAGCTGCTGGGCCATGGGGAGCCGCACGCTTGTGGCATGCTGTGAAGCTGAGCACAGCTCTTAACACCCTCTCTGCTGCAGGTGATCAGCCTCTCTGTAGTATCCCCATCGAAAACATCCTGGCTGTGGAGCGACTAGAGGAGGAGTCTTTCCGAATGAAAAATGTGAGTGTTGGCCCAGCCCTGTCCTATAGCCTGTTCTCTCTCCTCCCTGTCTGCTTCTGCTGCAGGCTGTGAGGGTGCCCCCACCCCACTGCCCTGCATATTCAGGCCTGAGATCTCTGCCACCTGAACACTTATACATCCTACCTCCTATTCTGCCTGGACCCCAGTAGTAGAACCTGCCAGAAGCGGGGCAGATGATCTGGCACCTACAGGACTCACAGTCCTTGACCCTATCCTGTGTTCTCAGATGTTCCAAGTTATCCAGCCAGAGCGAGCACTGTACATCCAGGCCAACAACTGTGTGGAAGCCAAGGACTGGATCGACATCCTCACCAAAGTGAGCCAGTGCAACCAGAAGCGCCTCACTGTCTACCACCCATCCGCCTACTTGAATGGCCACTGGCTGTGTTGCAGGGCTTCCTCGGACACTGCTCCTGGTTGCACCCCCTGCACCGGGTAAGTCTATAGTTCTTCAGCCTTGCTTAACTAGGCACAGTCATCAGCCTTTGCACTATCCGAGGAGAGTCAGTCAAGGTGCTGAGTTGAGACTAAAGTGCAACATACCTGCTCAAAGACCACACCCAGCAGAGCTGTTCTTGGGGGAGCCCCTGGATGTGTCCCTCTTGAAGATTCTGCATAGGCTGATGGGAGCTGCAAACCTTTGTGGTTTCCCGTGTCTCCTGCCCAGGACAGAGATATCCTCACAGGTAGTGGGCAAGAGAGGAGGGTCTCGAGGCAGAGGACGAAGGGCTGGGTGTTCTATTTCTTTTAAGATGAATCTTGATGGATTGTGCCTCCCTGAGAATGCCCTTAGCTCACAGATGCCTCACCCTGGTTTCCCCATTTGGGCCAGTGCTACTTCACCTTCTTAGAAACTGAAACAGTTGCTGTCTTCCTGGCCATGTAGTCAGCTGGGCCTCATGCAGTTGTCAGAGCCTTTGTCATCTCATCTCTGCCAATCCTAGAGGCAGCCCAGGTACCTAAAGATTGGCAGTGCCCCTTGTTCAGCTCTATGTAGCTTGTACACATAAAAGAAGAAGCAATGACAGCCTCATGTGACAAGCCCTGAAGTGGACAAGTGTTAAGGGCCACTCACCCACTCTTCAGGCTGTCATTTAACCTCCTAGATCCTTGGAGTGGGACATGGTGTCCAGCTTCATCAGTGTAGAGCCTGAAGTTCAAGGGGGGCTATTGTCAGGCCCCCAGGTGTGGTGGGGCTGTGCCTCCAAAACCCCCTGGGAGGGGATCAAGGGCCTCTCCATCTCAAGCCTGGGACAGGAGCCAAAGCCACATAGCCTTGAAGGATGAGAGGACACCTGGCCTGTCACCCTGGGACAGCCAGCTCTTCTCAGGAATGCATGCCTGGAGCTATTCTGGATCATTCCAAGAGGATCCCAGCCACTGAGACTAGACTGTCCTTTCTCACACACATACCCAGTGCCTAAAGCTGGTTGGCCTATAGCTTCCCTGTCCCTGGGGGCTAGGTGAGGTTTCAGTGAGAGTCACTCTGCTTTCTTCAGACATTTTTTTTT